CGGAGGCTAGCACCAATGGCCACAAGGAAGGAGCCTGCCCATATGCCGTCCAGCAAGCTTGCCTTGCCAGACAGGAGCATACGCTCAAGAAAAGCAACGAACGACAAGGGGAGAGGTATGCTCTCGCGTTTCTCCTGCCCGGCCGGGTTGGAGAGCAGGCTGAAAGCGGTGCCATACAAATCAGGCAAACAAGCGATGGCCAGAAGTTTCTTGTACCAACGGAGCGCCTTGAGGACGTTGATGCTGTTTGAAAGGGGGCCTGAATCCGCACCTCGAGACAAAGCAAAGAAAGCATCGAGGAACAGCCCCGGATCAATGGCCTCCATGTTGCCGCCCAGCTCCTCAAAGGCACAAAAGAAAAGCTGAACAGAGCGAAGGTAGCGGGCTGCTGTGGTGTCGCTAACCTTGTTCAGCAAGCGGGACCGGATGAGGGCGCCCTCTCGGCTACTTTCAAGCTGCTGGAGCACCGAGCTGTAGGCCCCATGCGATTTGCAAAGCTGGTCGAAAAGAACCCTGTTGCGCTCATCGCATGCTTGATGATTATCCTTGCTTGTCATCATGCCAGCTGCCGGGGCGCACAAAGCCGGAGGATGCAATTCTGAGGGCGATCGCAAAGCTGCCGGTGAGGACTGGACCGGTCTCGGAGTGGCCAAGGAGATTGATGCCTGAACAGGAGTCTGCTGAAGCGTGGGACGCGTCCTGAAAGTGCGGCAGTGCCTTCGCCGCCGGGAAGCTTTGTGGTATAGACTGCTGAACAGGCACAATGCTGGGGGCCTGAAGCGGAGCTGAAAAGGGGGAGCGTGGGCGGAGCCGAGCCACTGTAGGCTGACGCCCGTTGTGCCCCACCTGAAAAGGGGAGTTGTACCTCAAGCACACCCTTGGAGCCCGCCAAGAGGGTGCCCTCGAAGTAGCAGACAGACTGGGTCGAGGTGGGGTGGATCGCAGCGGCAAAATCTGAAAAGTCGAAGTACCTGAAGTGGACCCCTCAAAGGAAAGCGTCTCGGCCTCCGGCTGGTGTTGCTCTATAAGCTGCCAAGATTGATCACCGCTGGAAGCACCTGGGGAGTTTTCCATAGGTAGGGGAGGAGTCACCGGGGCACAATGTGCTTGGTGGAGCCAGCGGCGTCGAAGTTTACTCCTGGGTTCAAAGGCTTCCTCTGCATCTGAATCCGCAACCTCAAAGGTGGGTACTGGAGCTGGAGGTTGTTGATTAGGGTCTGTTGGATCCGCAAAATCAGCAAATGGTTGCGAAAAGATTCCCTAAGCTCCAAGGCTTCATCAGCAGAGCAGAAAGGTGAAGTGTCAGCCAAGAGTATGTCCGTAGCCACCCTGCTAGACGGCAAAGCTGGTGCATCACCACCACTCATGTCAGAAGCGGACATAGTTAAAACCAGATCCTAAGGCGCGCCACTGTCTCCGAAAGTGTCTCACGAAGCAGAGTCACCAGGGACCTGAGTTTGATAGAGAGCCTTTGGGTCACCTCTTCCAAAGCTGTCGTTCTATCAGACAAGTGGAGAAGCCAGCCGCGACCTTGGTGAAGCTGGTCCTCCAAGCGTTGGACCCTGCCGTATAAGCGGGAAATTTCCGCTCGTTGGGCCGCACTTTCAGCCTCCAGATCGTATACCCTATCGCAGAGACTCCTGACGTCGTCTGTAAGGCAAGCTTCAAGCAGTTGCAGATCAAACTGCCGGACGTCCCTGTCGAGGTCGCGCAGAACAGCTTGAAGCTGGGGGCTGTGCGGCACAGGCTCAAGGTCCATGCAAAGGCTCCAAGCTAAAAGCGTTCTCTTAAAGCTGCTGAAAAGTGTTCCTGACAGCTAAAAGCCTAAGCAGACTCACATGTAAAGCAAAGAAAGCTGAAGCTAAAGTTTTTCGAAAGCAAGCTGCTGTTGCGTGGTGTATGCTTGAACCCAAGCGGGGCCGCGGGGATGAGTAAGTCCGAAACAACCCTGAGTAAACACAGGAACCGTGCAAGCCGACGTCCCTGCTCAAGCTTCAAGTTCTCTGGTCTGAATCTGTCACTCTGTCACAATCCGCACGAAGCACGAAACATGTTCTGTTAAATCTCAGATTTCTCAGATTTCAAAATCTCAAAATTCCGCAAACTCGGTAAGAGTCGTGGCACTGAGAGGGCTTTGCGGTTCCCCTGCAGACTGCACACCCCCTCCCCAGGTTGCTGCCTCCGAAAAAGCAACAGGCAAGTCATCAGAATGCACCGACAATACAAAGAGTAGGTTTGTGGGTTTAGGGTTTAGGGCTTAGGGTTCAATGTTAAGGTTTAAGGAAAGTATGTATATGCCTACTTTTTTTGTTTCGAGAAGTGACGACGTCACTTGAGCCGCTTGAGCCAAAAACTATAATACAGTCTATATACAAAGGTGACACGGTGAAAACGGTGAAACTGTCATTGGTGTGAAATTGTGAAACTACAAGACTACAAGTTCTGCTATATGAAAGCACCGAGCAAACACACTATACAATTAAAAATATTTACACATGTGTGAGACGTGGACCTGGAGTTGAGAGTTGGGACTTCTATGTTCTATGCTACACAATAATCTGCATCATGGCGGCGACTTCCTGTTGTGAGACCACGAGAGGCGACAGGCTACGTGGCCGCAAGTCCACCGTACCTACCTGACCTGGCTACCTAGACGAACTCTTCACGTCTCAGTTGATCGCCGAATCGCCCACAATGATATAATTGCCATCGCATTGCAATTGAAGACAGAGAATTTCAATTTCAATCTGCACAGTCTAGTCTGGTTTCGCTCGTCGTATAATGTCTCCATGCTCCATGGCCATCAACTGAAATCTGTCAGATTCTATTCTCAGATTTGAGCCAGTTTGAGCCTTGAGAACTTCGCAACTCGGAAAAATCTGTGCGCACATGCCAAATCCGTTTGAAAATTGCAGCCGTTATCATCATCATGCATTCTTGCAAAGCCGAAGAACGGCTGGCAACCGAAATTGTCCTGTTATCTGGATGGAGTCATCCATATTTCAGAAGGATCATGACAAGACCACCGTGCAGCAGTGCCAGCTATCATCATTGGCGACCCCCCCAACACCAAGACCCCAGGAACAAAAAAGGAAAGTTAGCAGTGCTCATTCCCTTCGCGGTCCCTTGCGCATTAAACAAGAAAGGATAATCAGCAGCAGAGACCCGGACAGAAAACCAACGGCACTTCTTTGGCTCAAAGCTGTGCAATGTTTCCCATCCACCCAGCACGAAAAAATCATCCTCTGCCTTCGCGTCCCTGCGAAATGCTTCACGAAGCATCAAAGGTGGCGACTTACAGCAGACAAGATAATGCTTCTCTTGCAGCAATGTCAAGATGTAGCGAAGAACCACCATCACCATATGCGGAACCAGAACCACAGTTCTGGGGTGATGGCAGCTTTCCAGCGATGAAGCGGCCCCATAAACGGCCGGAGCCAATACAGGACTTGCCCAGCGTAGACTAATCGCCCCACAAATTCAGCGAAGCGCCGATGCTCAATCATCCCTCGGCCCCTCTGCAGATCCGTGATGAACTCGATGAGCCAGTTCGCCCGACGCTCCGACAGTCCCACTTTGAACCGAAAGTAATCAAAGTAGAAACCAACATAATCCAAGCAGCTCGACTGCGAAGCTCAGACCACTTAAAAGGAGTGCCAACATAAGCCAGTAGAGGAGCACCACCCAAAGATCGTGATACTTCTGCTCTTCCCCCGCCATGATCTGCAGGTCATCCGCGAAGAGCATCTGGAAAAGCGAGACCTGCAATACGATGCGAAGAGGTAACCATGATCTTCGGGTGCATGTGTCTCCGATGTGCTTTTGCAATGTCTGCAGCGATTCCAATCAGTAGTCGATGGCGGGAATTCGAGCTTATCAGAAATCTTAATTTTGTTGTTCAGCTTGACAGAGTGAGTGCCATCGAAGAGGGCTCGTACTGAGCCATCATCCTTTGTGATAGCTTCGAGACTTGCCACTCGCAGCGTCTCCCCGAACCGCCGCCGCGCCTCCTTCTCAGACAGGGGGTACATGAATCCAAGAGCCTCCTCCGAACTGTTTCTCCAGCTGCTCAGGTACGGTCTTGGCCGAAGAGTAGTTCTCATTGATCGCTTGAAATTCAGACTCATCATACTCGCCACTTCCCTTTCGGCCTGAAGACCGCCACTACGCGAGGAAAGGATCGATCTACTCCCAATCTCCGCCCCACGAGCATAGTTGTCCTCTGCACGAGTGAGAACCTCCCAGTCTTCATCTCCCACAGCCCCACAAGTCTGCGAGAGCGCCTCCAAGAAGAATGGCTGCCCAGGCTCCTGGAGCCGCCGCTGAAGGATCTTCTAGCAGAGGAAACTAAGGTCTACGAAGATGATCCATGGCCTGAACAGAGAAAGGTGCTGCCTCATGCTTGCCCAAGGCCAACATGAAATACGCCTGCTGTGGGTTTCTCTCTGATGAAGTCATCAAGAGGACCCTTCACTCAGGCACTTTTTTTGGAAAATGGCCCGGAAAACTGGCTTCGCGGCTTCTTTTGAAGCCTTCTTTTCCAGAGCGCTTTCGGTTGACACGCTCCGCAATCAGCGAGCTAAAGTCATGCATGCCAACCTTGCCAGCGTTGAACCCGTCTGAGAACAAAGATCTCGTGATCGATCGGTTCCCGCAATTGATCGAATCTTGTGGTTTTTGAGAACCACTGCGGCTGGCAATATCCCGGGCACGAAACATGTCGCATATGGTTCAAGCAAGTTAGCCACGTCCAGGACTACATCTGCAATAACACCGACGTCGATTATGGTCAGCGGCAAGGATACCTCACCTTCTTCTTGAGCACCTGAGCACACAACTGGAGCTTGACACGGTGACACGGAAAAAGCTGCAGCCCTGCTGCCTGCTTAAGCGTAGCGCTCTGCCATATGCATGCCCGCATTGCACGGCTGCTATTTAGCTCAGGGGGGGCTCGGACATTCGTCCGTACGCCCCCGTAGCTTCTTGCCCATTAGGTCGCCATGGCACGCGCCTCTTTGGACTGTCAATTGGAGACGCACGATGCAGCGCTCCTCCTCCATACCCGGACGGCGGGAGCCCGCTGGACACACCCGTGTTACATGACGCTCCAACAGGCGGTGATATTCAGCCACCTCAGCACGGAGCGCATGCTCCACTTTCAGGTGCACGACGGGTCGCTTATTGTGCAGGTAATTGGGAATCAACGAGGTCCTCGAGTCCAACATGATACATCGGGGTGGCACCGACTGGTGCAAGGAGAGCCTATCCTCAATGCCTTCTGCCAGCAGGTGGAAATTCCGGGGATATACGTTAAGGGATTTGAGTTGGTTGCGCGCCATCTGGACAGTGCTGTCATTGTCCTGGCGAGCTCGGTAGCGGCAGGCGAGGACTGGGTGACTGTGATTTCGGGCTTGCTCACGGCGCAAAAAGGCCCTCAGCGAGTGCGCAGACCAGGGCTTGCCAATCATGACCGGGAATACTGTTCGGTGTTCGGCTTTCAGCCGCTTACCAACAGCCCGCACCTCTCTCTGTTGTTGGAACCTGTGGATGGGATAGCGGGTGGATCCACACTCCCGCTTGCCTTGGGGAAGCTTGCGAGAGCTATCTTGCCCATGACCATGGAGCCAGGAATTCTCCTGAGCGACGCGGTGTGGCTTATTACGGACACGGCTGAAGTGCCGTCGTCGTACCCGCATGCCCGGCACACCTTGCCGCACATCCTCAATCGCACCCCATGGAGGCACGGAGAGAAGCACGCAGTCCTCTTTGCGCCAATCACCCCTGATACCTCACTCACGGAGTGCGTTGCTCCCAGGCAAACACATCCTCTTGGCGGACCATGATACTGCCCCCACCTCCCTGTTTGAAGTGCGAGACCTTCAGGAGCTGGTGTCGGTTGCGGCAACTCTACAGACAGCGCCGGCGCAAGGATGTGCGGAACAGCCCCCAACTGGCAAACGGTCGCTCTGGGAGCTATGACCTAGGGTTGCATGCACAGGACACCGACTTTGTCGGGGTGATGTTCGTTTCAGAGCCAGTCACCCACGGATGCGCAAGGATGCTTTTCCGTCTTTGCGGCTCAGCCAGGCCGGACCTCTCAGGAACTTGGCCACATCCCGAGAGTATGGCGTGCGACGAATGCGCTTCGGACGTACCTGCACCACTGCAAGCATGGGAGATCATGGATATCGCAGATACGAAAATCGACTGCGCCTAGACGCCGCCTTCTTGGACGACTGGGCAGCTGAAGTTGTGCCACTTTTACTGGCCCAGCTCGCCTTGCTCCCGACTCTACCACGCAGCGCTATACATGCGGATTGGAGACAAGCAGAATTGCTGGCGGGGACCCCGCTCATGGGCACGCAGGCCAGACACTCTGGCGATGTTGCCGCCGCCTGTGCCTATCTACGCTTTCCGCTACAGGCCTTCAGCCTTTGTGGGGGCAGGCGGAAAGGAGCACCACCTGCGTGACCTGGACGACCTCCAGGCCTTGCCTACGCTAGGACAGCCGCCGTTGGGCCTGGTCGGTGCTCCTGGATTTAGCGTTATTCTGCTTAGATGACAGTGGTGAGGGTGATATAAGCCCGCTCAGCAGCACTGCCAGGGAGTGAATTTGTACGGAACTCTGCAGAATGCAGGTGCAGCCTCACGGTGCCGGGATGTGGCTGGCTGCGAGTGATGCCACTCTGCTCGATGCGCACTTCGGCTTGGTGGGAGGCTTTCGGCTGGCGGCAACGGAGGACTGCAGAGGGGAACGCAATACCTCTTTGCCCGTTGAGAACCGCCCAGTACGCGTCAAGTGCACAGGAGCGTCGGCCTACAATATTCCTGCTCGCACTGACGAGTGGCAACTGGTCTGCTCACTCCAATGTTACGGGCCCACTGGTTGTCAGGCAGAGGACACCACTGTTAGCGAAAAGGGCCAGCTCCTGGTTACGGAACCTGACCGGCTGGCCTTCGCAGGTCAGCATACCAGCCTGCTATTGGCACCCTACTGCATTGTTCAAACAGCGTACTCCATGCTCGACGCACCCCCGGAACTTGCAGCTTTGCGTCGCCCCTTTGAGCGCCTGCCTCGGAGTTCGCATCTACAACACCCTCACAGTGGCTGCCTTTGTGCTCTGCTATGTTGATCATTTTAACGGCCCTGCGTCCCAGCCCTCTGATTGTGGAAGGCTTCTCGGCTGGCAGCTACACTGGTGCGGTTCTGGCTACACTCGCTCATCGGGTCTGGGGGCGCATCCCGCCTCAGCCAGGGCCCAGCAATTCTGCTGCGAGCCGGGAACGGCAGTTCCAGCACACTGTCAGGCTGGGAGCATTGGGCATGCCTGATTTCATATTTGAACAACTCTTGGGACTACCGGTCCGATTGTGGCTGCTGCATGCGGCTGATGATCAGCTCTGCCCTTTTCGATCGGATGCACGAAGCAGAGATCAATGGAACGCCGATCTGCGCAGGGGAGCTGGTGGCCTTGTCTGGCTGTTAGGGGGATCAACCACCGCACTGTTCGGCTCTACATGCCATGGATATGGCCACTTGCTAGGCCGGGTGCAAGACCTGCCCCCGGAGCTGAACGTTGCATGGGGCAAGGCATACCTGCCACTCATCAATGACCAAGAGGAGTTACCCCTTGCCTTTCAGCAGCTTCACCTGTTTCGCTTCCCGGTGTTCAACGACACGCCTCATACGCGGACGATGCAAGCACTCTTCCCGGACGGGGCGCTCACAGCGGAACTCCTGGACGACATACAAGCGGTGCTGCCTGCTGACCTGCACTCTGAGCTCCGGGCTCAAGCCCCGCCTGATGGGCGGCAGTACACCGATTGAAAACTGGCTTATCAGCACAGCTGAGTTGCATCACCTAGCTGTGGCTGAGAACACCACCCATCGCCTCCCGGAGCGGGTCACCCGAGTTCTGCTGCGGCAATAGCCAGGGTTGTGGACTTCCTGCCTCTTCAGCAAGGGCGACACACTTGCGGATTACTCTCTCACTGTCGTGGCAGAGACGTGCACAAGCTTTGGCGCGTATCTCCTGAAAATCGGCATCGTCCCTGCAAGGCGACGCCCTCAGGTGGTTCTCACGTGCTGACAAACATACCCGCAGGAGGGTTCTGTGATCGTCTTCGAGGTGGTCACGCTCCCCAACCACAGGATTGTGTGCCTTGAGTCGGGAAGGGCCCTCAACCTCTTTGTGTTCTCGAACTGCCGAATGGTCGAGTCTCCTTGTCATGAGACCACCTTCAAAACATTGGAAAGCTCTACCGCACCAAGACTACCTATCCATGCGACGCACCCCGAGGACCACAACTTCACCATCGAAGAGCTCCAAACTGCTCTCAAAAAACTCAAGTGAAAAAAACCCGGGCCGATGGTTTACAGAACGAAATCATACGACTACTGGATGACCACGGTGAACTACAACTACAACTCTTAGATACCTTCAACGAGGCCTGGAATAGTGGCGAAATTCCGGAGATGTGGCTAAGTCTGCTAGTCGCGGCCCGCCTCACCCTGTTTTGCGTGGCCTTCCTCTCTTGTACAATTGTTCTTGTTGCAAGGGCTTGCCGCCGTCATGGATGCAGCCTTCGTCGTGATCTTTGACTTGAGCATAAGTTTTTGCAGTGTTCCGGAACCCTGGGTTCGAACACCAAGTTCGAACACCTGGAACCGAAGTTGACTCCGGGTTCGAACACAGTGTTCAAACTCCGAGTTCGAACTGGTGTTTGAAATTCAGGTTCGAACACCAGTGTTCGAACCTCGAGTTCGAACACTGGTGTTCGATTTCCGGGTTCGAGTACTGGTCTATAAAGCGCTTTTACGAACACAAAAGAAAAGCCACACGAAATCGCTTTATGGGGGCTTTTTGCGAAAACAAGAAAAGAAAGAAAAATCGCCCCCACGTGAAAACGGTGGACCGTCCAGTTGCGAGTCGGGACACAGAAGCAAGCGTCACCACAATCTCCAGGTCGAGCTACACAACAGTGGTGCTTATCCAAGCGTACAGGGAAGTAAAAGTCCATTTTCCGAGGGCCGCGTAACCAGAACACAACAACGGCACTGAGCTCCCAACCCCGGGTGATGGCAGCTGTGCGAAGACGACACAATGCGGCGTGCAAGAGTCCAGCAGACTGGAGGGGAAGAGGCGTGCAGCCACGCGGAAATCAGTCGATACCTGGAAGCTATGGAAATTGAGCGGCGCCAGGTAGAGAGACGCGGCGCTGATATTCCGCATAAGCCGCAGACGGCAGCGCTCCAAAAATCACTGGTATCGCCTGTACAGCAGCCCAGAGGACTATCGGTGTGGCAAGATGCTCCGGCCATGGCTAAAGCTCCGAGCACACGGCAGCCATAGTGGACAAACGCCCGCCGAATGGCCAGGCAGGGCAGAAGCTTTGAGCCAAAATGGCCTGTGGCGCTCTGCCCGTGGGACTGCCGGGCCCAAGTTCTGATCCATCGCTTAGTGGCACAGGAATCCAATCAGGGTGCTATGCCCGACGGTAGCCAACCACGGTATCGTCTCGGGCACTCTTGGGGACAAGACGATTGGCGCGCAGCGGCCCAGACTTTCATGGAGCAGGGTGGACTTGGCCCTGGCATCCAGCTTCCATTCATCTCCGCAGAGCTCATCTTCGTGAACCAGACCAAGACACGCTCCAGTACGGCTTCCACCGTCTCAAGGACTTGTATGAGGGCCAGTACCAATTGCTGTACCTTCTGCAAGAATCTCATTTCCCAAGAAGTTGCAACGACATGCAGCGCCTGCTCGATCAATGGCCCCCTACCTAGGAGCGAGGCCCCTTCAGACTCTGGACCCACTTGGCCGGCCACAGTGTCCATACCTTTCGACATACGTCGGCGGGGCTGGGCCCCAGACCTTCGACGAAGGGGGGCTTCAAGGGGGGCTTTAAGGGGGGCTTGAAGGGGGGGCTTAAGGGTCCCCCCTTAAGGGGGGCTTAAGGGCGGGGGGGAACGGGGAGGGGGGGGGACGGAGGGTCGAAGGGCTTGAATGAAAAATTCCAATAGGGTTTCGAGAATCACCAGGAGTGCGCAATAATCAAGGCAACAACAATCAACAGGAAATCTCAATGTGCTCCAGAATGCAATCACTCGGTCTCAGACTTTTGTCTGGATTCAATGAGCCAGTCTTGAGCCAATGCCAATTGGTAGGCATCGTGCTGTCCGTAGCCAATACGAGCTGGAGAATGACCATGCAATCTAACACGGTCCCTTGATTGTGACGAGTCACGTCAGCAATCACAACTGTACATTCTCCGCTCAATTATCGGATCTACAATCATACTGTAATAGCAATGAAACAAGAATCAGAATCGTTGTTGAGCAATTCGAAGCAAACGATCAATCAATCTACCGGTCGAAAATCAATCACAGAACTGGGCTAAAGTCTCAGTGGCAATCTCACTCCTTTTGCGCTCAGAGCTGAACAATCTCATGCAGTCACCCAATCTGCAACCATGAGCAATCATCATCCAGGAAACAATGTCTCCGTCGGTACATTGCAATCATAGAAGCAAATGGAATCAGCAATCAATTGACAGTGTCTGCAGGAATTGTCTTGTGCTCAATCCGAGCAACGGGGTATCAATATCCAATGCAGTTGGGCAGAAAGAATCAAAATCAAAATCAAAATCAATGCTGAGAGGCAGCAATGCCTGTGCTGCACGGTTCCTCAATGCCGTAGGCACAATCCATCCACAAATCCATCTGACTTGTGTTGTGAATCAATCGCCAATCTTCGTGGCAATCTTCAATGACCTTTGCGCTTCTTCGCAATCGCAGCAGCAGTAGACAACATAATGTTGTACTCCTCTCTGGTCAATGAAGAGGGTACTGGATCTGTGCTCGAATCAATGCCTGCACTTGCCGTGGAGGCAATATCGTCTGCAGCAATCTCATCACCATTCTCAGTGAGAAAGTACAATTCCGGAGTTCCTTCAATCTCTAGATGCGTCAATGGCAGGGTGCAATGCCTGTGCACCGTCTCCGTTGGAACCCAATTCGCATAACTGGAATTGTGAACCAATGATGCCAATCCCTCAACGCTCAGAGTCGGAAGCTCCAACACAATGCTATGATTGCGTACCAATCCAGGCATAATGTGCGAATACGTGTTGGCAATCGCATCATGGGTGCTAGGCACCAGCTGCTCGACAGAAAAGAACAATTGTGATACAATGCAAAGCCTCCCGTGCCATCGGGGACCTTCAATCGTGTATCAGTCATTCGCTTCAATGGTCGAAACACAATGATCTTCACCAATTCCCTTTGTTGGGCCTCATTGAATCTGTTCTGTCGAAACCAATGACACAATTTTCTCAAGGCAGCATCCACTGTCAATTGGGCATTAAGTTGACCCAATGGCGTGGGTATCAGCGTCGTCAATCCAGCATTCAGCGACTCAATCAAGCTTGCTGGGAGAGCAATGCAGCAGAACCAATCCATCAAGCCCTCCACAGGGGCGTAGTTCTGACAATTGTACGATGTGACAGCAATGGTACGTGTGAAGATGCTCCTCAATGCGTAGTAACACTCAACTGTCTTATCGACAATGAGAAACGCCAAGTTTGGCGAGAAGATGGGAATGCCATCCTCAATGTCCGGCTGACTCATCGTCCCAATGCAGCGGTTGCAAACCCACAATAGGTTGAGGAAGATGCAATTGGCGAAACCACAATGGACTGGGAATCCGTCAGGAGTCAATGTGCGGGAATACTTATTCCCAACTGTCCATCCAAGTTGCACTTCAATTCCGCCAATCTTGTGGTTGAATCGCACGTATTGGCGCGAATACGCCGTCAATGCGTCATGCACAAGTTCGGCAATCTCCATGATGATTGGGCAATCAAGGTGGACGAATCCTCCTTCTTCGCCCAATGTCACAGTGACGTAATTGTCGACAATCTGCGTGGTCTCAATGAGTGCAGTCTTCCATTGGTGTAGCTCCAATGACGAGGCAATGCACGCCAGGTGGGCATAGAAAATGGCAATGGCTTCTCGCATGCGAGACAATACCATCTCAGAATTCCACCTCAATCTGTGATGCGGCGGATGGGCGTGCTCGCCAATCGAGCTGACAATGCACTGGAATTGCTCCAATGGCGATCCGGTCGGCAATGTCACGACCGGTGGACCCATGACGTACTCAGGCCCCAATGGTCGTGCACCCAATGCCGGGGCTCCGTTGGTGGCCATGGCAATCAGAATGAATGAATCGATCTGATGCAATCACGAGTGCAATTCGCTTTCTCTCAATCTACGAGCAATCGCAAGCGGGAGCGAAAATAATCAAACAATCACAAAAGGCGCACACTCCGGGTTACAATCTCAAAACGCATTCAATGCCGTTAAAATCATGCTATGTACAATGTTGCTGACACAACAATGATTGACCGAGTCAATGTGTGTAGAACTCGAAACAATGAATGTTCGGCTCTTCACTACAATGCTTTGTACAATTCAAAATCAAATACAAAATCTCTTCAAACAATGAATTCTTGTTTCTTGCAATTCAAACACACTGGTTGGTCCGAGGCCTTCCAAGAAAATCTCCCTGGTCAATCGCTTTCAACAGGAATGATAAAGTCTTGCCAATGCACATGCTGAGCTCATGAAGAATTCTCTCAATTCTCACCTCTTCTTTATTTCAATGGTGCAATACGCACTCTGAGGCTTGTGCAATCGAAGCTTGTGCGAAGGCACAATGGAACATGCAATAGGCTTCAATCACCTGAAAGTCATACGGTCCCTTAGATAGGACGAGTAAATGCATTCGTGAAACAGATGAAACAATATTTGTTTGGTTTTGGGGTTTTCTTAATGAAGTGGTGGTCGAACGCAGTCGAGATCAACTCACATGAGACAATGAGGATCTCAAGACAATGATGACCAAAACGATAGAAGCGAGCGAAATGACGAGTGTGAGGACAACAGCTCCTCTCCAAGACACACGACGGAGGACTGATAGGCCAATCCTCAATGTACACGTACAGTGACAAACGCTCTGACATTCCACAATCTAAAGACAAATGAGGAATGCTAAGACAGGCAATGTGTCGAACAAGGCGACTCACAGTAATCAATCGACATGGTTCAACGTCAATCCTGTGAAGCTCAGAACATGTCATCACAATCTGTCTGCAGTGTGTCAATGTGTCCTTGAGTGGGACAATCCTCAGAAGCACGCAGGAATACCTCATCGGAGGTTCCTTAGTCAATCCAAAAGGTTCCTCAGTCACTCGAGAATAACAAAGGCAATGTTGAATCTTGCCACAATGCTCAGACGAACCTGAAACACTGAAGACGTGGCAATGGGTCGATAAACCTTCTCCAATCAGCGACATCCAATTCGTGCATTCCGTGGCGTACTCGTCAATACAATAAAGAGGCACCGACACACAAGAACAGTTACAATCAAGACACTTGATAAAAACAGTGGTGCGAAGGAACAGACAAAGTGAATCAAAATCAACAGTATTAGGTTGAGAATGGCAGTGGTTAAGTCGCTCAGCCAATAACCTTGGAACATTCAAGGGGAAAAGATGAGCAAGATGCAATGAGAAGCTGAATCCAGTGCAACTGCAATCGAAGACGTGGTCGATGCAATACCACAATGAAATCGCATACGGCGATCTCAAGGGAATGGATGACCTTAGTCTCAATGGATCTCCAGACTTGTCACCACAATCTCTCAGTTCCTCAGCGAATGCACAGAACAACAATAGGTCTGCGGGAATCTCATCAACGCAATCTGCATGGCGAGTGAGAATCGAAATCAAGACCTTAGAGTCAATGGTAGAATCCTTCCTGAGGATCTCCAAGGTGAGATCAATGCAAATCTCTCGACAATCACAATCTCTCTCAAGCACTCTCGTGTCCAATGTGTCCAATGGTCGGCATGAATGACAGCGAATGTCACCGCAATGTGAAAAATCATACTCATGCCAAATTTCGCAATCTTCTCGAGGTGGCAAATGTACGTGCCGTTCATGCAATCCTAATGCACAAAATTGTTCTTCGTCAATCAGGAAGCAGAATCGCAGGAAATGGTGAATAGACACGCAGTCGCAATCAATTGGAATTTGCTGCGACTCAATGAAAAGAGCAATGTGAAGGTGGACAGAAACGGGGTAGCAATTCCCAGAATGCCAAACGCAACAGCAACGATCAGCAGATGGGATCACAATCAAGGAAGTGGGTCCATGAAATCTCATGACGCAATGTCTTCGATCTTCAATGCAGAACTCGTTCTGAATCATGTCAATGCCCCTGAATGTCAACGCAGCAATCTGCAATGGGCACATGTATGAGCAGTCGACATCGAACAGCCGCAATTGATCAATGACATGAGCACAATGCTCCATGAAACGCGAAAGAAAATCATGAACGCGAATGTCAAGACAATCTTTACAATCTCGGTCCCTCGGCTCGAGATGGCGACGCATGCAATCAATCTGTGGTAGCGCTTCTTGAGTGCCGTCTCTCAGTAGTTCTTGAACAATGTCCAGGGAAACGTAAAAGACGGTACAATTCGTCAGAAGTCGTAACAACAGATCGCAATAACCATGATCAATGCTAGGCCGTCTTCGTGGTGCGCTTAGTGGAAGTCCCGTTGGCGACACCACATTGCACCATGCGAAAACAAGATCTGTTGCAATGAATCGTGGAAAACAGATTGCAATACCCATGCTCAATGTATGCTCATCCTGTTTGTGCACGGACTTGCAGTCCTTTTTGTGACACCAGCCATATCGACTGATATGCACAATGCGCTCTATTAGGATAAGATCTATTACAGTGAGTGGTGAGGGGCAATTGCGACGCGCATGCTCAATGACAGCTCTTGGTACCACTTTCCGCCGGCCGTTGTCAAGCTCAGGCTTGTACGGCAGCCTTGGCAATGGTAACATGAGATACACTAGCTTGCAATGAATTGAGATGATACAATCCATGTAGTGCAAAGTTAATGCAACACAGAGCTGATAAGAACCAGAGAATAAACAATGGTGATGGAAACAGCAACGAAGGAATCCATCATACAGATCAGAATGAGGTGACAATCGAGTAACTCGTGGTGATGAAGATCTGAGCTATGGTTTGAAGCTGAGCCATGGTATATGAGACCATGCTGAAAGTGTAATGGTACTGTGACAATAACTCAGCTGCAATGTGCCTGCTGAAAGGAAGTGTTCAATCAAGCTCCAAAGATCAATGGCAGAATCGCGATCAATCCTGAAGAGCTCAATCTCATCACAAATAGATCTGTCAACAGCAATAGCATGATCCAACTGACGAATGTTCGTGCCACTGCAAATCGAACGCTCATGAAGGTTGTGTTCAATGTAGACTCGCAAGGCTTCACTCCATGAGACTTCTCTGGCCTCCATGTAGAATGATGGAAGTGCAGTTTGACACAGAACAATCTGAACGTTTCCAAAAGGATCAATACACCTGCTCCAATGCTCTTGGCTGAGAGCAGAACAATGCTCATTCGAAGAATCTCGCAAGCAATCGAAGTCCTGCTGAATCAGAATCGCTGAATCCTGAGGCAATGAATCGTGAACTCCAGTACTTGAACAACAATGACACAGAAAAGCCTTTCTGAATCCAAAGTGCAAACAGTCGAAGGCGCAATAATCGTCCAATCTGAAGTCATCCTCAAAGGGTCCAACATCCGAAGTAAACCTTAACGAACAATCCTTGTGAAACTCGAGGACCGATTCCAATCCATGCAGAAATGCTCTACGATCAATCGGAGCACTCATGAATCCGCAAAACACAACAATAGTCGTGACGAGCGAACACATCAAAACGCCAAAACTAATTCTCAATCGCTCAGGGAATGAGCAATAATCTAGTACACCCAAACTCCTCCAATTCGTAAAAAAGGACGCGCAAAAATCAATCAATCGCTTAACGATCGACATAGATGAAACTTGATCACCAATCTCAGAACTAGACGCGATGCAGGGTTCTTCCAAAGCAATGCCTGAGAGAATGCAGTCTCGATGACTACAACAATCAGAATCCTTCATGCAATCCAACTCAACATAATCGGCATATGACTGTGTCAAGTCCAATGCGCAATCAGAGCCAAGCCATGTCCAAACGCAATGCTTCACGCCCATGTCGTCAATCGGGTCACACATGCAGTCGGAATACTTTTCCAAGTCAACGCAATCCAAACACTCGGTTTGAGAAAACGTAACGCAATGTGGCATGCCAAAGTTCAATGCTGCATCTGCGAACCAGCAACTCTCTTCTTTCTCCAATCTCTCTTCTTCTTCTTCTTCCCTCTCTCTTTCAATCTGCTTCACGCTGCAATACCAAGCATCCTCGCTCGAGCAATCCGTCGAATCTTCCTCGACATAACAATCTCGTTGATTCTCTTTTCCTTCTCCTTCAATCGTGTTGCAATCCTCTTCATCTCCCAATCTGTTACTTTCCTTCTCCTTGTTCCTCTTCCTTCCTTCTGCTTTCAATGAGCTTCCTTCCTTTCCTTCTCCGATCTCCTGTGCTTCCTCAATCTCCTTGACATCCTGTTCCTCATCAATCTCCTTTTCTCCTTCCTTTTCTCTTTTGCCAATCAACTCCGAATCTTCAACAAGGTGGGATACGTACTCCAATGTCCGCGTAGTAAGGCCTCGAAATCTCTTTTCTTCTTGCAATCTTCCGATGCTTCTCTTCCTCTCAGAATCTCTGATTTCGCTTTCTGTAACAATCATCCGCAGCAACTGATGCTGAGATGCTGGCTGAATCAATCTGCCAGATGTGGATCGACAGAATCTGCAATAGCTCTTGACTAAGTCAACGGCCCGATCGAATGTTCCCAATGCATCCTGATGCAATCGAAGAAAGCCTGACAATGCTTCCTCAGTCTTGCTTATGAGCAATGCGAAAAGAACATCTTCACTCAATGCATCTCCGCCAGTCTCCTCATATCTCTTCTTCAGGACAATGAAGGCAATGAAATCTTCTTCGAAGAAATCTTTCCTAAACTCAAAAAGAAAAATTCGGCTCAATGTTTCCATTCCTTGGCCTCTGCCAGAAATCCAAAATCTCTCGTACAGCAATCTCCAAGCTTCGAATCCGTTCTCATGCTTGCATGTACGGACAATGCTTCCCGCAAATCCTTTCGTGATCTTCACAAGCAAATAATGCAACTCAGTGGAAAATTCGAGCAATCTTTCTTCTGG